TGCTTGATTGAGGTGATCGACAATTTGGTATTCTTTAGTGCAAACCTTGCTTTTCAAAATACTCCAGACACAATATTCTAACGGATTAGTATCCGGGGATTTTGGTGGCCATTGTGCGGTGGAAATGAAGCGAGGATCCTCATTTTGTAACCATTGTGCGTGCGTGCTGAGTCCTGTAGGAATGTTCAAGATCTGCGGCAAAAATGTTTGCACGCCCTAGGCTTTAATACACACTCCAGAATATGTTAGCGATAATATTCGGCATTTATTCTGATGCCACGGTCGATTAATACGAGCGGAGAGCTACCATCGGCTGTTATGGCGTTATAGTTCTGCTTACCAACCGAAGGTGCAAATTTTCTTGCTTGTAAACAATATAATGAGTTGTCACTGGAATAATTTTAACAACTGTCGAACGAGTAGCTTAGAAATGACAGCAGTCTGAAGATGGTTGCATTTTTTTCATCTCATGGGCCATGTAGATCCACGTTTTGGTATAGCCCCCATATATTCGGTATTTTGATGATTTTAGCTAAATTATTCACCGATTTTTACTCAAGTTTCGCATTTGAATATTGTAATGGCTTATAATGGTCACGTCGTCGTGTGGACCCTAATATAACGGCTATATTCGGTATTTTTAAGATTTTAATTTTTTTTTTAAATTGCCAAATTCGTTTCAAATGGTGGACGGTATTCAATAGCTTTTTTACTTGTTTTCATTCCAACATTTCGGCCAGAATATCATGAATAAATGCTTCAATGTTGTCTTCCAATGCACCAATTGAATACGGCTCGTTTGTATCGACATGAAAAAATGAGTGTGAGCTATTGAAACCAATGTTGCCAAAAATGTAATAACTAAAAACTCACCCTTTATAAATTCAAGATACAAGTTCAAATTTATCCAGCCCTAATGATATTTCAAATCTCAATATAATACTCTCGTCTAATAAATTATTCTCAAATAAATACGATTTTATATTTGAAACACGTTCATAATTTTAATTATAGCCCTAATGATATTGTTATTAAAATAATAATTGGAATTAAGTCACTAATTGCCTAATTTATAGCAATTATAGATAGACCTGATTGTATTATTTTCCCACACATACATACAAATGTGTTTATGTACATAATTTTACTTTCTTCTATTTAAATAATACATTTTTATGGAGGCTATCTATCAATTAGCAGTTTTCAACACAATATCTTCTTACAAAATATTCCAGATAGAAAGTCTGAAGTGTGAAAATAAATAAATGCGGCTATTTTGTAAATATTTGTTGGATTTTCCACTTTTGCTTAAAAGGGGGTGTAATAAAAAAAAAATACCTTTTTAAGTTGCTATTGCGAATAAATAAAGAAAGCTTTTGTTCGGCAATATATTCAATGTTGTTGACACAAATGCATCATCCGCATTCGTAAGTCTAGACGATTTTAGGCTGAAACAAAATACCTTTAGGTTTTGCTAATGAATGAAGGTCACCCCTCTGGAGATGATGCTTCATAAATATTTTACCTTGGGAAAAATTAGCACAGATTTTTGACGACTGTTAAAAATTCCAACAGAAAAAAAGCATGCTTTAATTTAAATATTTTACTTCTGAATTGGTAGCCCATGATTCCCACACGTGTTTTTTTGTTGTAAAAAAATAACAACCCATCAGTTGGTCATATTGCCTATCTTAAACTGTATGAGTTATTTTTGCGTATTAAAACAAGAAAATGTTTGATGATGAAATGTTTATCTTATTCATTTAATGTAAAAATCTTACATCATTGCTGATATTATTTAACAGGAAATGTATTGGCAAACATTACTGCAAAGAATAGCACGTGTAGATATGTTATTAAATTAAAACATCTAATAATATAATAGTAGAACTTACAAACTTTGAACCGGCTTTATTGTAACCGTCAACAGTTCTTTTAATTATTATAAATAAAAACCAGTAAAGAAAGTCCTAAAGTCGGGCGGGGCCGATTTTATGATACCCTACACCACTTTGCTAATTTAGTTGAGCTCCACGGAGTGCATATTACGGCTGTGGGTAACAAATACAATAAATCGGATGAACAATATATATGGGAGCTATAACTATATCTGAACCGATCTTCATCAAATTTGGCATACTACCTTCTAGACTAAATTCGATCGTATGTGCCAAATTCCATCCTATTTGGACAAATATTAGGCGTTTGGTGCACAATAAATGGTAAATCGGACGAAGTTATATATGGGAGCTATGTCCAAATCTGAACCGATCTCGATAAAATTTAGCAAAGGTATTTCTGAGCTGCATTTGATATATTTCCCCAAATATTGTTGTTACAGAGTGTATATTACGGCTGCGGAGGACAAAAATAACAAATCGGATGAAAAATATATATGGGAGCTATAGCTATATCTGAACCGATTTTGATAAAATTTGGCATACTTATTTTCAGGCCTAATTTGGTTGTATGTGCAAAATTCCATACTGTTCGGGCTAATATTGCACGTTTAGTGCACAATAAAAGACAAATCGGTCGAAGATATGTATGGGAGCTATATCTAAATTTTTACCGATTATCTCCAATGCCAATAGGATTCGTCCTTGGGCCAAACAAATGTTGTTTGCAAAATTTCATCTCAATCGGATAATAAATGCGACCTGCATTTTGTTCACAAGAATACATGGACAGACGGACGGACGGACAGACAGAAATAAGATTTAGATATAGCTTCCATTTATATTTTTATTCGATTTCAGTTCTATTGTGCACCAAATGGCTAATGTCAGCTGAAATATACTAAATTTTGGCACTTCCGACGAATTTTAGCCCAGAAGCAAGTACTTAAAATTTTGGTGAAAATTGGTTGAGATACAGCTATTGCTCCCATATAAATGTTTCATCCGATTTTGTGTTAAAGTCCTTCACATGCGTAATATGCACTCCTTAACTAGGATATTTAATACTGGACATAAGTTACAGCTTGAAAATACCTATGCCAAATTTTATCTAGATCGGTTCAGATTTTTATATACCTTCGATATACATCTTCATCCGATTTTACCGTTATTGTCCACCATATATGTGATATCAGCCTAATTTGGATAGATTTTTTCATATTCAATCAAATGTTTCCATTTGGTGAAACTCGGTTCGGAATATTTATTGCTCAAATAAATATTTTTTAATACAATTCTTATCGAAGTCATATCATGCACTATACAGCAATGTTATTTGGTACTAGAGGAATAAAAGCCTCCGTCAAATTTGTTGAAAATCGGGTTGTATATAGTTCCTAACTTATGACTACTCTAAAGCCATGATACGCTTTCAAATGAGGTTCATGGTTGGTATATCTTAAGAATAATAAAATAATTTAAAATTGGAGGAGTGACCGATGATCTCAGGCTACAAAGTTTTAAAAGAATCGTTGACTTCTAAGAAATATAAATATTGAAAATTGTTTGTTCGAGGGAGGAGGGGCGGTGGGGAGGGGGGAGATACCAGAAAGGGTGGGCCGATATGTATCATCTTCACACCAGATCTTGTGTTAATAAAAATATTGGGATCTGTGAATTTTAAGAGAATCGGAAGCTTATTTCGCAGATTATAAGAAATATAATTATTACAAATTCTGAGCCTTTGTTTGCGAGGTACCGGAAGAAGTGGTCTGACATACTTCATCTTCGCACCTGATTATGTGTTGATAGAAATATTGGGATGTAAGAAATTTGAAGCGAATCGGATACTTACTTCGTATTTATAAGCGTTTTGGTTTATCAAAATGTTGACCCTTTGTGGGGTAAGTACCATACCAGAAGGGGTGAACCGATATATTCTATCTTCACACCAGGTCTTGTGTTGGTAGAAATATTGGAAAGTTTGGAATTTGAAGAGAATTGGATGCTGATCTCGTATTTTAAAAGAGTTAGTATTATTCAAAATTTTGAACCTTTGTGAAGGAGGTACCAGAAGAAGTGGTCTGATATATTTCATCTTCGCACCTGATTATGTGTTGATAGAAATATTGGGATGTGAGAAATTTGAAGGGAATCCTATGCTAAATTCGCATTTATAAGTGTTTTGTTTGTTCAAAATTTTGACCCTTTAAGGGGAGGTGCCAGTAGGAGTAAACCGATATATTCCATATTCTCATCAGGTCTTTTGTTAATAAAAAAAAAATAAAAATTGTGTCAAAATTTTCAACATTTGTGTGGGAGGTACATGATGGATTGGACCGACCTAGCACTAATACAAATATTAAGATTTGAAAATGTTGAACGAAATTGGATGAGGTACCAGAAGTAGTGGACCTATATTACCGATATCCGAACTAGATCTAAGTTTGACAATAATTTTACCATGTCAGAAGTTTTAATCAAATCGGATATTCCCTTCGAGAGTTATCGTGCACACCAGCCAGACGAACGGACGGACACCTCTAGTTCGATTCCAAATGTCCTGAAACGGATTTGGTCCAAAGAGACCTAGGCTCTAAAACCGTTATTTCGATGAGACACGTTTTAGCCGTATCAAATGACCCAATCAAATATGTCCCCTATTAGGGTAATATTCGATAATACGTACTTTTGCCAAATCGAAGAAAACGAACGAATCTAAATTAAGTTCAACCACTTTTATAAGACCTCCATGCGGATAGTGCCATTCTAAAGTATATCAATTTGTTGCAATTTTTAATTAGTGATCGAGGGTATTAGGTGGATCTGTGGAGTGTTTTTGGCGTAAAACATACCCTCAGCCTATAACCAGTTTTAGATTTCAAAAATTTCTTAAGTTTTTTCGAGTATAGGATATGATCTTAAAATTCTCAAAATGTGTATTTAGCATGTCCTTATTAAGCCTCCGTTGGGTTTTTCTGCTTACGGGATATAGTGATGTAGAATGTGAAATGATATGTTTATGCAATTGGATATTTTATTAGTTTAATTTCATGTTTGTGTACCTTTTTGAAATAATATTGATTTTTCTTTTTTTTACAGCTGAATATATCAAACCATGCAGACGGGATGATCCTGAATTATTGAAATGTTTTATGAACTCTTTGGAACATGTTAAACCCTACCTGGCAAAGGGTATTCCTGAAATTGAGGTGAGTTTGATATGGCATTTGTAAATGTCATCTAGTATTACAATTACACCGTTAATACTCGATATATATAAACCTAACAAAAATTTGAAAATATATAATGCTTATTTCGAGGAGTTACAAACGGAAAGACAAATTTAATACTCCCTCCATAGTATGGTGAAGGGTATAAAAATATGGGTTTAATTATATGGTAAAATGCAAAAAAAAAATCCTACATTTATCAAGGATGTTGATTCGCTCATGTAGCCATATTCTCATACCTTACCTGAAATTTAAACGATTTTAGAAAGAAGTGAACTTCTACTTTAATACGATGAGATTATGCAGCTCACGTTCACATTAAATTAATTACATTTTAACGACTCATTGAGTGTGCAATTGTTTTTAGAATTTTTTATGGATTTTGTCTTCAAAATAAACTTATTCTGGAAGAAGAACGTCTCGCCTATTTAAAATCATTTTCTGTAATCCATCTTGTGATTTATTCTGTGCAACCTCATAAAAATAATCATAAAAGATCTTCAGACCGATGAATAATACAAATGCAAAATGACCGCCTTTCATCCCCTTATAATAAAATATAGACATATTTCAAACATAAATATATTTCTGGGATGTTTGTTATTGATGTATCGATCCAGGTATGGGCCCGTGTAACAGTACCTCCGATTTTTCGTTTTTTGAAGGTTTTGGCTCCCCTCTTCCAACCAAAAGGGTTGTAATATGACACTTTGGGTTCTCAGTGGCTGGTCATTTTACCTTAATTTACATTCTGTATCATCTGGAACGAAAACAAAAGCAGCTGGCTGAGTTTGCAAAAACTTATTGGAGACATTTTCCAAGTAAATTTTCAGTGTCGATCTGTCAAAATGTTTCTCAATTCGCTTTATTTTACTGGACTTTTTACATCATCAGTCATATGGCCACAGAGTGTAAATATCATTTGATACGACCAAAACGTGCCTCATCTACTAAATTCGTTTTGAAAATTTTGGAGTTGATCTAGGGTTGTCCGTCCGTCTGTCTGCGCCTCTGGCTGGTTGGTGCTCACTATAACTCTTGAGTTGAGTATTCGATTTGATCCAAAATTGGTACATCTTGAAATAATATCAAACTTAGATCGACTTCGGAGATAGGCTAGATTGGTCCACTCCTTCTGATACCTCCCCCACAAAAAGTCAACATTTTCGGAGACAACAATTATCCTTAGAGAAAGAGAAAGAATCATCCAATCTTTTACAAACGTTGCGAGGCCCTACGTTAGGTGTGAAAATGGACCATATCCGCCCACTCCTTCCTGTACATTTCCCTAACAATGGCCTAAATTGTAAATAACCCGAACGCCCATAAAATGTGAAATAGGCATTCGATTCTTTTCTTACTTCACGCATTTTAATATTTCAACCAAAATAAGATCTGGTGAGATGATGGAACATATCGAGCCACTCCTTCTGGTAACTTGCCCACAAAGGGCCAGCGGTTTTGAGTAACCAAAAAGCCCATAAAATACGAAATAGGCATTCGATTGTCTTCAAATTTAAAATAATCCTCTGTATTTCCTTTTAATACCCCCCTTTACAAAGGGGTACACAATTTTGAATAACGAAAACTCTCAAAAAAGGCAAAATAAACATCCGATTCTCCTCAGTTCTCAAGATCTGGTGTGAAAATAGGAGACTTATTCCCACTCCTTCTGGTACCTCCCTATAATAAAAAGTCAAAAATGTTCACAGAAAATAATTTTCCGTATACAACAAATCATTAATTTTTTTTTCCAAAATTCTCAAATCTCAATATCAGTTCTACGTTATGTGCGAAAATGGACAATATCGACCCACTCCATCATCAATTATGAATAATTATAACTCTTATAAAATATAAAGTAAGCATCCGATTCTCTTAAAATTGCACACATCCCTATATTTTTATCTACGCATAATCAAATGTGAATATGGAATATATCGGCCCACTTCTACTGGTACCTCCCTCACAAAGGGTCTAACATTTGAACAATTATATCTATTACAATTTACGAAATAAGCATTTGATTATCTTCAAATGTCACACACCCTAATATTTTTGTTAACACAAGTCAAGTTTGAAGATGAAACATGTCAGACCACTCCTTCTGGTACCTTCCCCAAAAAGCGTCACATTTTGAATGATTATAACTCTTATAAAGTGTGAAATAAGCATTCAATTTCACACATCCTAATATTTCTACTTACACAAGACCTGGTTTAAAGATGAAATACATCAGTCCACTCCTTCTGGTACCTCCCCCACACAGGGTCAAAATTTTGAATAATTATGTTTCTTATAATTTACGAAGTAATCACACCTTATGGTTCCACCCCGCAGAAAGGTTTTCAAATTGTGAATAAAACAACGCTTTTCCTTTTCTTCATACACAATTTCCTCAGAAATGAGTTTTTAACATTTCAAATTATTATTCAAATTATATATATATATATATATATATATATATATATATATATATATATATATATATATATATATATATATATATATATATATATATATATATATATATATATATATTAACGAGTCCATCATTGTCTAATGGTCTAGAAATGGCATATATATATATATATATATATATATATATATATATATATATATATATATATATATATATATATATATATATATATATATATTAACGAGTCAATCATTGTCTAATGGTCTAGAAATGGCATATATATTAACGAGTCAAGATGTCGTATGGAACACAGATATTTTATGCAAACTAAAATGTCCGATTTTAGTCCAATATTTTAGAAGCAGTTGATTTAAAAAAAATTGGTTTAATTTCTTTAATCTTATTTAAGATATCTCTCTCAGTAAAACCCACTACACTTTCAGTGTAGAACTCTCAAAATTTCTCTATTTAGTTTGCAATAGTTATAAACAAACTTAATGATGGTTATTTCCAGATGTTTCAAACGGAATAATAAATTGATTATACCAACTCTACCCATTACCCTTCTTATTGTGGATAGTATACAAATCCTCACTAATTTCAGATTTATGGTATAATTTTTCAATATAATCACAATATTGACAAAATCACGTGAAACTGTCATCGCTAAATATGCATATGTATGCCAATATTTTTTTAAGTCGCATGACAATGTCATTCTCCAAATGATCGGATATTGCAATTTCACGCTTTATAATCATTTAAAAACAACATCATATGGCATATGACGTTTATATTTAAATATTGTGCCCTTCTATCGGTCTCTGTATATTAATTTGTTTTTTTTTTTATTAATGAGAATGCGAAAACAAAAATGTTTCGATGAGACCACAAAGGTCATTTCGGATAGTTTCTTGTTTTCATCTTTAACGATTTATTTTAAAACTGTTTAAAGTGGTCAGATCAGCAAGTACATGGTAGGTAGGTGGTTTACTGTTAACCGCAAGCTTATCACCAACTTTTTTTGTGTTTGTGGTAATCGACCGTTTTGACATACATCGCAGCTAAATGATATTTTTCTATCATCAATTAACTGATTATTTTGAGTTGGTAACTTCTATCGCTGCTGCCGCTGCTGTTATCAAAAAACCAGATTTTTGCATTTAGCCTACGATGACTTTGAACGAAGCAACCAAAGAGTAAAAAAAAACATTAGTTTGGAATTTTTTTTAAGACAATTATGGAAAATTTTTAAATTCATTGAAGGTTTGGTGTATAGGAGGTGGAAGGTGATCTAATTTAAAAATAGAACAGATGGAATTATTTGGGCTCTTTTGTTTGAAATAAAAAAACACATGAAGTAACAAATAAACAAATTAAAAAAAAAACGTTAAAATTTTGATTTTATGATTTTTTTTAAATATATTTTTACACCCCCCACCATAGTATGGAGGGTATATTAAGTTTGTCATTCCGTTTGTAATACCTCGAAATATACATTTTAGACCCCACAAAGTACACATATTATTGATCAGTATAAAATTCTATATCGATTTAGGGTTGTCCGTCCGTTCGTCCGTCCGTCTGTGGTAATCACTCTAGCTTCCGAACGAATTGAAGTAGGTAGATAAAATTTTACTCAAATGTGTGTTTGGTATGCAGGACTTCTGGTATAAAAAATGGGCTATATAGGTCCACGTTTTTGTACATCCGCCATATAGTGGTACCTCCCTATATTCAATATTTCGCTGATTTCATCACTCACCGGCATTGTTTCAAATTTCATATTTGAATTTCCTATTAGCTACAGAAAATTGCTTATGTAGACCCAGGTCTTCATATAGTCCACATAAAACTGTACCTGCCTATATTCGGTATTTTGAAGATTTTAGCGATATTTTTCACCGGAATGGATTCAAATTTCGTATTTGAAGTTCCTAATGGGTACCACTATCTGTGACAGAAAATTGCCTATGCAATTCTTCGTACAGCCCCCATATAACGGTACCTATATTCCGTATTTTGATGATTTTAGTTACATTTTGCAATGGATTTGTCTGGTATTCGGTGAGTGGAGTTCTCAATAGACTTTTATGAATCTGAAAAAATGGTATATATAGGTCTACTATTGCCTATAGCCCCATATTACTGTAGCTCTCGATATTCGGTATTTTAATAATTTTAGCCTTATTTTTCAAAGGAATTCTCTGACAGTCTGCACACGAAGTTCATTTTAAGTACTTTACCCTCTGAGAGAGAATGGTCTATATAAGTTCACCATATGGTATAGGCCCCAGAATTGTTTCAAATTTCGTATTTGAAGTTCGTAATAGATATTACAGCCTGTGAGAGAAAATTGTCTATGCAGGTTCAGGTCTTCGTATAGCCCCCCCATATAACGGACCCTCCCGATATTAGGTATTTTGATGATTTTAGTCACAAATTGTCAATGTCTACAATTACCTATAGCTCCCAAATTCTGCACATAGAGTTCATTTTAGGTACTTTACCTCCTGAAGGTCTACGATATAGTATTATCCCCACACATCGGTACCTC